GGGGGGGGGGGGGGGGGGGGGGGGGGGGGGGGGGGGGGAGAGAAAAGAAGGACATCGACCTAAATTAGATGAGTCAGATGCTCGACAGACGTGATTTTTATACTGTAAACGTGTGGAAAATACAAATTAGCCGGAGGACACTTGTACAAAGTGCGTGCCACTGCTGGAAAATCCTCTTGTCTGTTTCAGTTAAATTAAATATCAAAAACGGGTAATAGTGGCAATTTCATACGCTTTTTAAAATACAAAGCTCCAAGGTTAATATATCCTGAATATGGATCGTATGCGACTTAAAATAGAGATAACCACGGTGTATCGCTTGATTCTGCTCCCGCCATTGTCATTCACAGAGTATTCTCAGATTTGGCGCCAATTGTTGGCATCTGATTGTGGAAGCAGAACTTTTTTTATTATGAACTTCTTAAACTTTCTTAGGTGAAAGTCGAAAAGCTGGAAAACTACTGTTTGAGACTCAAATGACAGCAATAAAACTGGGATGGGATTCGCACTCTCGGGATTTATTTTATTTCGGTTTTTTCGTAGCCGCAGCCGAGTTCCGGTTAGGTTTCGGTCGCTGTTAGATAGGATTTCGTGACGTGTTGACACTAAATAACATCGACCGAAGCCAACGTTCCTTGGGAAGACCATACTGCCGCGTAGATAGATAGATAGAAACTTTATTTATGTGTCAAGAAAGAAAAAAACTAGCCGAGGGGCAGGCCCTCTATTAATAGGGGACACCTATGCAATACAGCTGAGTCTATTACGGATTTAACATTTTTTTAGTGATATAAACTGGAAACGACAGTATTGACCGTTTTATAACTCAAACTAACTCAAATATGTTAAACATCTTCGCTGCGATCGATCAAGTGAGCGGAAGTCGACGGGATCATTTCAGTCATTTTGTAAGACGCCGCTGATATATCGATGACTCGTCTGGTGTAGGTCGATGTTTTAATATCTGGTGCTTTCCTTCTGTTTTTACCATGGCAACTGACTTTTGACAGCCATGTCAAGCACCGTTTTACCTTGCGCTTTATTTTAACAGCATTAGATTGTTGTAAAGACACCCCTGTGTCTTAGTTTTGTTTCGTTTCATTTTTAGCTATGACCTCTATATAGATAATAATAAAAATGCGCATTGTTAAATTTAAGTACACATTTTGAATTAACTCCAATAAGAGAGATTTGCAAGGTTTCCGGATTTTTCTCCATTATCCTCAATTTCAGATGACGTATTCCAAATTCCAGTTCAGCTAAGCCGACTTAAAGCATTGCGGCAGGGCTCAAAATAACGGCCGGTCAACGGACAATGTCCGGCCTGATCGTGGACTTGACCGGTCAAACTCTCGTCTGGCCGGTCATTTTGACCGGTCATCTTTGGATACGAACATTTTATAATATTTTCCATAAGTTGTCGCTTAATGCGTTTTG